TTGATTTGGGTTTCATTATGCTTTCCCTCTCCTTTGTTTTTTTTTTTTATATTAAAGCTAACTTAATAGCTCTTGGTTATTAGACTGAAAGTAGATGACTCTAGTACATTAAGTAGGAGGAAAAGCAAGAATGAAGTTTAGTTGTCAGCTTTTTAGTTTATGGTCAAACAGACTGAGAGAATAGGAGAAAAATGCTTACAAGAGAAGGAACAGGTAAGGGGCAGAGTGTGAAACAGAGCAGAGAGCAGAGAACAACAGCTTGTGCAAGACAAGAGAAGCATGTGACACAGACAGCCCAGGCATTGTAAAGGGGAAGAATAAATGTGGAGACATGACTGACTACAGCCAAAAAAATACATGCGTCACAAACATGCACAGTGCTGTCTCACTGAAAGGGATAGCAAGGCTCAGAAATGTCAGATCATTTTTTTTTTTAAATCATAACACAAAAAAACAGTGTATATATTTATGCTGGGTATAAACTTTCTGGTTTCTAGGGAATCTTTTGAAAAAAAATCTATAAAGTATTTTTAAGTTAAAATCTTTTTAAAAAAGCCCTGAACCCAAGACACAGTGAAGCTCTTTGCTGCTTTTCTGTGAAAAAGTGTTTCCTGCCCTAACTAAGCATATGTCTTCTTCCTTTAACATCTAATCTTTAACATCTAATGTTAAAAGGGTTAGTTTTCTGTCATCTTGGCAGAAGCCAGAGTCATCTGGGAACAGGAGTTCCCAATTCCTGAAAAAAATGTCCCCATAAAATCTGCCTGTGGGCAATTCTGTAATGCCTTTTTTTTTTTTTTTTTTAAATTAAAGAGAGATGGGGGGGGCAGCTCACCTCTGAGCAGGTGGTCTGGAATGGTATAAGAAAGCAGGTTAGGCAAGGCATGGACAGCAAACCAGTAACCAGTGTTCCTCCTTGTCCTCGAGTTCCTGCCCAGCCTTCCCTCAGTGATAGACTGTGTCCTGAGAGTTGTAAGATGAACTTAACCCTTTCCTCTTCAAGGTGCTTTAGGTCATGGTGTTCATCACAGCAAGAAGAAGCATTTGTATGAGGATTAGGTATTTCTTTTTAAGTTAAAAATGGCATTGTTTTATTTTTGCTAGCAGGCATGGGCTGTATGGTGTAGTGGCCTCAGTGTAGCTGTGGATGGGGAAGAGGTGATGACTTGGTGTCTGGAAGAGAAAGGAGAGGGTTAGGTACACTTCTGGGAAGACTGGAAGAAGGACCCATGGCACGCTATAGCTAAGCTGTCAATAAGGTTGAGAAATTCTTGGAAATCTAGCTTTCCATCACTGTTGAGGTCTGGCTTCTTCATCATGTGGTCAAGGACACAGCGTCCCTCTGGTTCTTCTTGAAGGCAGCCAGCTCTGTGTTCATGAAGGCAAGGAACTCAGTTTTGGAGAGTGCCCACTGTATGTTTGGAAAACAGCAATCAGGGACTTGATGCATTCAGTCTCTGTAGGCTTGGATATTTTTGTCAAGTTGAAGAGTGAGGCCAGGCTGCGACTGCGGTTGACAGCGCTGGGACAGGAATAGCAGAGGATTGGGTATTTATTTCTGTGGCAGACCTGACCGTGTGTTTTTTAGAAGATTACTCCGGCATTTTAACTTTGGAAAAGCTGTTGAGCATTCAGAGATCAGTGGCCTGTTCTGTAGAAGACTGGAAGAATTGAGAGTAATGCAGATGATGAAGGTCTAGCTTGTGTCTCAGAAGGAAGTCTGAAGGTCCCTTAAAGACTATCAGTGCCACAAGATAGTCTGAATTAAGAATCTGTGGTTCTGGTCAGCTGGCATTGAAGAATCAGTTATAATTATCCTCTGAAGTAAAACCTTTCTTTCTAGGACAATTCATACTGGTAACCTGGGCTGAAGAATCATGATTGAGAACAGCATCATTAAGGTGCAATCTTCCATGAAATGTTTGCTTAGGGTCAGCGCAAAGAAGATTGATCCAAACGGACCAAGGGTGTATCTTTCGCGGGTAGCTAAACTCAATAATGTGTAGGAGTCACACAGATGGTACTGGTTTTGAAGACATGAAGGGGTCATGGAACACAGCTGAAGCTTTGCAGTGTGAAGGGCCAATAGTGAGGGTTCAGCCTCAGTTGCAGTAGAAGCCCAAAGGATTGAAGGAGAGGATGGAGAGAAGCTGAGAATTGTCACCATGTGGCAGAGTAAAATGTCCTTGAAGAAAGCCAGGAGAAGCTGTAGGCAAAGGTACACTCCTGCTACTTCTGAGTCCTCAGCATATTGGAGATGACAATACCATTGGATGACCACCTCAGAGAGCATCGAGTGTAGAGTAGAGATGGTCAGAGCTTAAGAGACAAGCTGTGACCTGAGACTTGTAAGCTGGAATAAGCTATTTCACCCCAGATGCTTCTGGTTATAGTGTTTTATAATAGCAATAGAAGCCTAGCTAAGACACAGATTGTACTTTTACTTCCTTTCCTTAAGAACGTTTTTATTCCATAGATGAGTCTAAACCTTATTAAGCTTCTTCTAAAATCCATAGAAATACTTGCCGTTTTCCCTGCAAGAAGTTGAAAGTTCTTCATATATAAATACCTGTAATTATTACATATGATACACAAAATAACACACAAAGACCGGAGTTATAGCTGAGTGGTACATCACCTTCCTAGCATACACAAAGCATAGGGTTCAATCTCAGGTACCACAAAAAGGAAAAAATAAATGTGATATACCAATAGATTTTCTAATTCTACTATTAAGCTGGTATCTTTTAAAGGCTTCACAAAAAGCACTTAAGAAGCTCAATGTCTCAGAAAATGAAGACAGGGTGACTAGCTAGGTCTTTCCTAAAAGCCAATGAAAAATATGGAGGAGTTAGGGAGAAGAGCTTCTGTAGTAGAAGCAGCAAAGTAAACTGTGAAAACATGAAGAGAGTAAAAGAAGAGAGTAGTAAGACACAGGAAGACCATGGGATGCTGTGCTGAGGTAGAATAACCACAAAAGGAAAGTAATTGTGATGTTCCTCTTTGCAGTGACCCCTCTAATAAACATGCTGGGCCCTAGGATGGCCCTGTGTTGCTGCTTGCTGTCTCTTTGCTCATAAAGTTTATTTTTATGTTCTCTTGCCTCACTTTCACTCTTTTATAAAACCCCCTATTATATAACCCAGGCAAAAGATATCAAGCCAGACTCTTCCATTTCTTCTCTTTTCAAGATGAAATATGACACTGATCCAAATTTCCTGAATAATTTCTATTTGCTCTTTCTCATGTATCTGCAGGACTAAACCTGTTTTAGAAAACTGCTATCTTGAGCATTCTTTCCACAGCATAATTATAGGGGCTATGTGAGCAGAGCAGATCTTCTATATTGCCAGGAGAGCTTATGAATCCAGTGGACTCCTCAGAAGCCCCCGTTTATCCCTGCTATCAAATTCAGTGACTATCAAGGTGCAGGGGAATCAAAGCAGGCTCCACAGCCTGAAGCCTCAGCATCCCTTTCCATCTTCAGTCCCAGGTCCTTAAGAGGATGTTGGTGTATTAGAATTGGTAATCAGGACCCTTTCCTCAGACTGGCACCAGATGCTTTTTAAGTCTTAGGTCAAAGGGACTTAAAAAAAAAAAAAAAAGCAGACAAAGTTGAGTCCTATACTTTGCTGTCTGCACACACAATGCACTCTGGAATATAATATTCATATTGATTCCCAATTTGACAGGACCTAGTATTACTTAGGACACAAGTCTCTGAGCTCGTCTTTGTGGGATTTTCTAGATTAGGGTAATTCAGGTACAAGATCCACCCTAAAAGTAGGTGGCACTGTTCTCTAGGTGTGGGTCTGGGACCGCATAAAGGGAAAGCTAGGTGAGTGAAGCATTAATCTCTCTGCAGGACTTCCTCACCATGATGGACTATGGCACACATCTGTATGCCAAAATAACCCTTTTCTTCTTGATACTTCTGTCACGATATTCTATCATAGCAACAGAGAAAATTACTTAATATATAAGTAAGGGTTACATATGTAAAAAAGAAAGAACAGATGCCTTTTGTCAAGGTACAACTTTGTTGTTCAATAAAATCTACAGGAAGAGAGTGAATTCTTGGAACATCAGTGTTTTTTCCCAACAGAACAATGATAAACATGGAGGGAATAGGCAGCAGAAGAGAAAACATCAGAACAGGAGGGAAGGGATTTTCATAAGTCACACTGTCTACAAATGTCATCTTTCTGCTGGCCACTCTGCAGATTCTACAGAATGAGGTGGTCTACAATCTTACCTCTCTAATCCAGCCACTCTCTTCATACTGACTGAAGACTCTTTCTACTGTTTCTTTAACTTCCTCATCTTCAGCTTCTTCTGTTTCTGCAATGGAGCAGCATTCTTGGTATAGTTGGAATTTAAAATGTTTCAGTTGATGATAAACTTCGGTGCGGTTAGCACAAATTCTGCCAACAAGAAATACCTACATTGAGAAATAAATATGAAGTGAACATTATTTCTGATTTTTCAGATTTTCCTTACTGGTAGAATCTAAAACATGTATTTTTAACTTTATTTAAATAGTTATACAAATGATTTCTGTATCTTTTCTTATCTATGCCACCAGTCAACAGAACTTGTACCTATACTATGCTTCCAGTATTGGGCTGGCAGCTAAGGGCAAAGTGAGGATGTACCTGTGTTAGGGAGCTTAGGAGAAATATGAACGATTATAAAACGCTCAGGGTGCTACCAGTGAGCACTCAGGTGCTCAGGGTGCCACCAAGATGTCAGCAAGGAGGGAGCATCACCTAAACCAACACAGACAGGAGACTGATCAAGTCCATGTTTCCTTGTGTGTGTGCATGTGTGTATGAAGGCCATAGGGCAATCGCAGGTGTCAGTCCTTAGGCTCCACTAATCCTTCTTCTTTTGAAGCAGTGTTTCTCACTAGCCTTCAGCTTTCCAATTAGGTGAAGCTCTCCAGGTGTTTAAGACATTAATGACTTATTTGTTTCTTAGTGTATGCTGGGGTTTGAATTCAGTCCTCAGGCTTGCCATCTTCTATTGACTGAGCCACCTGAAAACGGTTATCTGAATTTGGTAATAAAGAGAGAAATTGCTCATAAGTCAGAAAGACTGACACACACAAAAGCAGGAAAAGGCATGCAGAGTATGGCATATATCCACTCTCTGTGTTTAAAATGACCAGATTATGATAAATTTGTAAATATAAGCCACTCAAAGTGGCGCCCTCTTACACCAAGGTTAAATATTAGTAGCTGTTTACTAAATAATTCCCAAGAAAAAGGTAAAAATGTTCTTTGTGTGTAGACATTTTTCTGACTTTATGTAATATTTCATGTGTAAATAAGATATGCTAACATTTTATTGTTTGCTTTGATCATATATGGACTACCAGGACTCCATGATACACTTCTGTGAAATCAGCCCATCAGGCCTTTTCTGTCATGAGATGGTTATGGTTTGTTATACAGCTAAAATAGGAAGTGAAAATTGCTCTACTGATAAAAATCAGACATAACTTAATTCATACTTTTCACTCTTTATAAAAAATACATCAGAAATGGCCTCCAAACACCACAATATGATCATATCATGTCATGTAAGAATCCGAGGACACAAATATCTTCCTAATTTAAGAATTTGTCTCTAGGTTCAAGTGGATAAGCTTAGTACAAGTTACATCATTTTTAATAGTCATGTATGCCACACTTTTATTAAGCCACGATGCAAAGGTATGCAGAGATGATGATATGCAGATAAATAACAGTCTAGGAGTAGACTGCCAGAAAATAACTCAAATTATACAATGATGTATGTTTGGTGCATGTTTAACTGAAGCACGTTGGATGTTTCATCATGTCTTGTGACTTCCTCTGAATAGACATGAACAAACAATTATTCACCCCAGATACAGCACTCAGAAACAGATCAAAGAAACCATTCTACCTTAGTCTTACACAGTGGGTTTACTGGTGTTACATTCAGGAGCATGGATGAGTCAAAGGCAAGTACAAAACTGAGCAGTCCACCTCAGCACAGGTGACAACTCATTCATAAGAACTCTATTCCTGAAGCTCCCTGTACAAAATACCCTGGAGCCAACCATCCACCCACAACCCTTCCTGCCAACTGTTTATCACTTATATAGCTTTGGGAAGGGGTCTTATGATTGTGTGAGTTTCTTTAATTTCCTAAGTTTAATAGGACTTACTTTTCTCCTTCAAGCAGGGAATGTTCTTGTGGTGCAAGACCTCTTGTCCAACACAACCCTGCTATAACTAAACTCACTCTGAATTGTTAAATCCATCTCCATCAGAGCATATCCTTTCTTTCAAATAAGATAATCTCTGATAAGTCAGGCAAAAGAACATTATCAGCAAACAATCACTGTTTTGCTGCATCCTCAAAAAGAACCTAGTTATTCCTGGGCTTTCATTTTTATATAAGTATAAGCGCAATCACAAAATAGAGACTTTGGTTTCCAAATAAGCTGAGGGCAGTGGGTGGAGGAGGTGTGGACAGTCTCTAAGCCCCAGAATTGAAATACATCTGCTTTTTCCTTTATTTGTATGTATAGACACAGTGGTTCAACAGGCTAGAAAACGACTTTAATAAATGACTCCCTCCTTTTCTTCCCCCTTCCCCCCAAACAGATTGCCTTCATTGAAAGACTTGAACATAAAGGCAAGCTGGGGTAGCAGGTATGTGAAGGCAGGAGCAGAATCCGGGGAAACAGTCTTTCTTTAAATAAAAAATTAGATGCTCACAAAATTTTTGGACATATATACATTGATTACTTAAATACTGGTACTTAGATTGAAGAGAAGACAAATGGAACTCTGACTCATTTTAATGGCTTGATCCATTTGTCACATTCAAAATAACTCCACCCTTTTAAAAACACTAATGAAGACTTAAAGAGACATGCATTAAATTCACGCAGTGTTATTTAAAAATAACTAGAAAAATATAACCTGAGGTCTACAAATCATTACTGTGGATGGACTGGTGAAACCCCAGGTATCCTGACAGTGATGGACTGTGCTTGCATTTTTTAATGGAAACTATTGAATTCTATGCCAAAACATAAAAATTAACTGTTTCAGTGGTTTCCTTAAACCACTAAACTAGTTTTGTGATGTGTCTGTTTGTGAGTTAACTAGCATAAAATAATCTTATTTTTAAAAATAAAAATTTACTGAAAAAATTTTATTTTACCTGGCATCATTTCAAAACACCCATAGTAGCTATTAGTAACAACATTATCTGAATGCTGTTATATCCTGCCACACATTCTTATATATCAGACAATCATGTCACTCTTCTAATGTTTTGCTTGGAATGTTTCCAGTATCAATAATGCTTCAGTGAACTGTGTCATCATGCCATTTGCATTTACTGAATTTACTTTCATAAGGTAAACTTATAGTAAATGTAGCAGCTCTAGTTATGTAGTGTCCTGTACTGTAAAAACACACCAGACCTTTCTTCCTACAGAAACCTTAATTTTCATAAGCCTTCAAATGTCTAACCTATGTTGATCATATTGCCTTTAAACATTTGATTTAAATATACTGTGGTAATTTAAAAGCTATCAATCCTAATCTTAAGTAGCTTTATTTGTGTGTTCCTAAGTAGAAAATGAACATTTTCTCATGCATTTAAGTCCAATACCCAAGAATAAAATCTTTAAATAATTTTCCCAGTCTTTATTGTGTTGCTTAGAGTGATCTGATCATCAACTATTGTCAAATAGTAGTCATGAATCACACTTTCCAATAAATCATATTTTCCCCACTTTAATAATGGAAGATTTAGCAACAATTTTGGGTCTCTATCTCACACAAAACATATCCTCCAAAGATTTGCAGTCACGAGAGGAAGTTCTCAAAGTATTTACAAATGTAGCCATCTTAAAAACTAAGATTAAAACACAAACAGAATCTATATTTTTTATGAGCTCACATATAATTCACTGTCCCACTCTTGTTTAATTAACTACTTACAAAAAAAAATTTTTTTTTTTTGAACCATGGTTTATCTGTGTAGCACTGAGTGTCCCGGAACTAGCTCTGTAGCCCAGGATGGCTTATGCCTGCTTATTTCTGCTTCCCAAGCAAGTGCTGAGATTAAAGGCATATCCCATGACATCTAGTAATTACTTATTCTTGAAATTTCTCTATGTTCAAATTTAACAACATCTTAATCAGGTAAATAATTGCTTAGACACTGACATACTAGATAGTGTCTAAACTAAAGTACAGTGTTCTCTGGATTCTCTTACTGCACAATGAACAGGCATCTTCAATCACTTAACTATAAACTGCTAATTTGAATACTTTGTGACATAGGGTTTTGACCTAGGCATATTCTTCTTTGAACTTCAAAGGCAGCCTTGTTTCTCCCTTGCCCATGTCACCTTCCTCATCTCTCTCATCCTATATATTCCATCCCTATAATATGACTCACAGAGATTATGATGTGTACTGATTTTATCTCACTGAATTAGGGGTGAATATCCTATATAAGACACATTTTCCACCTTCAAAAACTATACCCTGAGGTTCGGATGCCATCAGTAGGGTGCTTGCTTAGCAAGCTGAGGCCCTAGGTTTAATATCACTGGCATACTAAAAGAAAGAAAATCAAATGTGCCATCTTTCCTTGTATTCGTTTCTTTGTAGTGTTTTCTCTATTTTTGAGGATAAGCTATGAAGCCTAAACTTTCTAAATATTAAAGGCAGAAATTAACAGAAGATACCTGCTTGTCATGTGACATGAAGTCATCTGTTTCCATCGTCTTGGTGTTGTACAACTTTCCCGAGAGGTGCACGGAGAATTTACAGTGGCGATGAAGCCCGCAAGCCTGGCAGGTGCAGTTCTTGGGGCTCTTGGAATGGATACTTAAGTTAGAGTAGCTTTCAACTCGCTCCTGACAATAGTTAAAAAGAAGAAGATTGAGTCAAATATGAATGTATCCAAATTACCAGTAATTTTGGAAACCAAAGGGAAGAAATATAAGAATAAAACACATGGTATTTCTTACTTTAAGAAGGTATTTTTAAATTGAAAAAAATTATTAATCTTGGCTATAAAAAAGACAATGTAAAAAGAGAAGTTTCATTTATCTCTTTACTTAAAAATTATTACCAAGTAGTATTTCCAATAGGCTTTAATGTACTCCTTTTCCATAGTCTCATCTCTAATTAGCATCAATGAAATATTAAGCAAAGTAGGAAAATGAGCAACAAAATATAAGGATAAGTGAAAGATGAATTCATTTAAGCTACTTAAAATTTGAAAAATGTATTCATTCTTCAGTGCATGAGTTAAATCACATTTTCCTCAAAGCATTCTGGAAATAACTTACTCCTCCTGTAGTGACCTGCTTTGCCATACGGAAATAAGCACCTTGCAATTAATAATGTTCCATGTCCAAGACTGATGGACCAACTAGTGACCGGGTTATGAATGAGTGAACAGTGTGAGAAACACTGGTCTGCATCAGCAAACTGTCTTAGTGATGAAGCTACTTCTATATGAGTAATTGTGCTCTCAGGCTATGCCTAGCACTACTGTTCTATTAGCAGTGGATTTTAGTACCACACTTGAATGAACACACTGAATATATTTCTAGCATGGTTACTAATCCACATTCATGCCCTACACCAATCTGGATGGTACACTGGTCCTTTTCATATTGTATGATTGGCAACACTCTTCTGATTTACCTGTCATAGTCTTCAAACTTCACAGCACACCACTGCCTGACTAATATCCAGATTATCCCCTTCCCTCTCCCCTTCCTGCTTCTCAAGCAGCTTGCTTTCCCGAGGAGCAACTACAGCACAACACACTCCACATGGACGTGACTTTTCTGGGTTAAACCACTGAGTTTTCTTCATGTTACTTTATCTTTTTCAGTACACTCAGTGTACCCTCAGAACTTCTGAATCATCTGTCTCAAAATTCTGTGCATTCTGAAATTGTTATTTCATTGTGAGTTTCCTAAATTCACTGTGACCTGACAGTATGGCAAAGCAGATCATAACACAGAGGTAAGAGTCTTGAAGGTCTCTTTTGAATACTGCCCTGTGAAATTTTAGCTGTGAAACATCACTTCCTCATTGTAAAATGGAGAAGATAGTTCCTTCCTCTTTTTTTTAGTTTATTTTTTATTTTTTATTAAATTATTTTTTTACATTAATTAGTTTATTCACTTTGTATCCCAGCTGTAGCCCCCTCCCTCATTCCCTCCCAATCCCACCCCCACTTATCTCCTCCCATGTCCCTCTCCAAGTCCACTGTTAGGGGAGGTCCTCCTCCCCTTCCATCTGACCCCAGCTTATCAGGTCTCATCAGGACTGGCTGCATTGTCCTCCTCTGTGGCCTGGCAAGGCTGCTCTCCCCTTAGGGCGAGGTGATCAAAGAGCCAGCTACTGAGTTCATGTCAGAGACAGTCCCTGTTCCCATTACTAGGGAACTCACTTGGAGACTGAGCTGTCATGGGCTACATCTGAGCTGGGGTTCTAGGTTATATCCATGAATGGTCCTTAGTTGTACTATTAGTCCTTAGTTGAGTATCAGTCTCAGAAAAGACCCATTGGCCCAGGTTTTTTGGTCCTGTCACTCTCCTTGTATAGCTCCTGTCCATTCCAGGTCTTCCTATCTCTCCCTTCTTTCATAAGATTCCCTGTATTCTGCCCAGAGTTTGGCTATGAGTCTCAGCACCTGCTTTGATACCCTGCTGGGTAGAATCTTTCAGAGGCCCTCTGTGGTAGGCTCCTGTCCTGTTTCCTGTTTTCTCCTCCTTCCAGTGTCCATCCTGTTTGTCTTTCTGAGTGAGGATTGATCTTCTTACTCAGGGTCCTCCTTCTTGATTAGCTTCTTTAGGTGTACAAATTTTAGTATGTTTATCCTATATAATATGTCTAATATACACTTATAAGTGAGTATATACCATTCATGTCTTTCTGCTTCTGGGATACCTCACTCAGGATGATCTTTTCTAGTTCCCACCATTTGCCTGCAAATTTAATGATTTCCTTGTTTTTAATTGCTGCGTAGTATTCCATTGTGTAAATGTACCATAATTTCTGTATCCAAGTTCTTTCCTCTTGAACTTAGGAAATATGTTTCACATGTAAATCATTTGACAATGGCAAAATATTCTTTAAAAACGTAACATTTTTCTTTGTGTTAAAGAAAATAAAGACAAGGTGGCGCATGCCTGTAATCCTAACACTTGGGGAGGCAGAGGCAGAGGCAGAGGCAGGCGGATCTCTGTGAGTTTGTGGCCAGCCTGGTCTACAAACTGAGTCCAGGACAGCCAAGGCAACACAAAGAAATGTCTCAAAAAAAAAGGGGGAGGAAACAAGGATTGGAGAGATGGTTCAGTGGTTAGGAGCACTGGCAGCTCTCCAGAGTTCCTGGGTTAATTCTCAACAACATGATAAGTCACACCTGTCTGTAACTCCAGCAGACAAAATACCAATGAACATAAAATAAAAGTAAATTATATTAAAAAATGAAATAGTATTATATTTATTTTATGCATTTTACCTAACATAAAAAACTTATTTCCCTTAAAAGTAGATAATTTTTTTTACATCTGAGGAATAAGTTGATCATCCAGATGTGTTAAGAATCTAGAAATAAAAAGACATATATGGTAGTTCTAAATTTAAGCCATCATTGAACTTCAAATCTTATAGTTTGTAAGCCCTGACTGTCCCTCAATCTGAAGCATTTACTCTCATCAGGATGAAGAGATCTTGATGAAACTAAGTTTTCTGAAGTAAATATTGCATAGAAAATTGATTTAAGTGTTAGGGAGATTTTAAGAAATTTGAATATCTATTATCTACCATTTATTCCCTCTTAGTAATCATTAGAAAATAGGATGTCAGAGGATGGACTATTTGATATTTAAAGGCACTGCAACCTCTGACATTAGAGATGATAAAATATGAATCTGAAGAATAAAATAGAATCTAGTAATTCTTATGTTAAAAAGCGAAATTCCAAAATTGCTAGGGAACAGGTCAAACATGATGTTAGTCAGTATAGTCTATCTGTTTTATGGAAATCAAACATCCTAAGAGGGACTGAATTGATGACTTATGGGTAAAACTATTTGTTGTCATATAAGCTTGATGGCCTGAGTTTGATTCCAGAAACCCACAATGGAAGGAAAAAAAAACAGCTCTTGAAAGTTTTCCTCTGCCAACAGTGGGCGGTGTCATAGATAAGAACACACACATCAAATACTTTCACACACTCTTCAAACATATACACACAATAAAATATTTAAAAACAGTAGCAGGAATAACCGGAATCTCGTGGAAAACAGCTTCATGGGACATATTAACTTAGGAAATATTGCAATCTGCATCCCTTCCTTTAAAATATATTTATCCCTCTATGAGGTATAAATTCATGAATTAGTGCTCAAAAAAGTGCTTCAATACAGAGCCAGTTTAAGTTAAACACTGTTTTTCAAACTTCTTTGTCTATGTGACTTTGTTCTCTGAAGAACCATCTAAGCTCTAGAGATGCTCTGAAATTATTTCAAACCATTTAATTATTGAAGGTACTAGTGTAGATATTTAAAACAAAGATTTTAAAGGAGATTAAAATATTATTTAACAAGGCAGAATGCCAACATTTCAGAAAATGATTTCAATAGGGTGGATATTGAAATCTTGAGAAGCCATTGTACCTATGCTCTTACCAGAGGTTAAAGAGAAAACTGTATACCTTATATTGTTTTTTCCATCGACTTCTAGAGACTAAGTTCTCCAGACGAGGTTGAATACAGCCATTATCCAAATAGTCAAGAGATGTCAACATATCTTTTGCATAAGATTTCGTCCTGGTACCAGCTGTAAGCAGATAAACAAAAACAACAGAACACTTGAAAATACTGAATCAACTGACTATTACGAATACTGAATCAACTGAACATACAATGTTTTAGAGTTTAAAAAGATGGCTGGATAGCTGAAAATATTTTAAATTAGAAAACAGTTAATGATGTCACAGCTTCATTTCATGGAAGTACAGGGCCAGAGAATGGGGTAGAGTTTCTGTCTCCCTCCCATAAGCCTCAGACTTTTTCACTATCATTATATCTATGTGATAGCAGAAGGAGCCACATAAAACAGCTTGCATAGAACCTTTCACTCTTCCTTTAAAACTGATCTGCATAATCCTGGTCACCCTTTTAAAGACTTCAGTAGCTGGCTCAATTGGACTTACGAGTCCAGTGATAACTTCTGCCAACACACTGGAAATGTCTTTTCTGCCTTGTCTTTCCCTTATCCCCTTACAGCATACTATAGTCGTTTCTGCTTTCCTAATTTCATTAATATTTTGTTCTCAATTTATACATATTTTTCATGGCCTATGATGCTAAGCTTTGTGTTTTTGCTTTCTTCAGAAATTTCCAAGTGAATTTAGTTAATGAATTGATCATGTTTTATTAAGTTACTATAGATTTAAACAGTTTATCATGAGCCCTTCTTTCCACTACATATTTTTTTGATGGCTTCTCCCCTCACTGCTGACTCATTGCACTATAACAATGATGTGTCTCCTTGTTTGTTCTTAAGTGCTTTTAACTCTTACCCTAAGCATAAAACAGATGCAGATACTACTGTCTTGGTTGCTTTTTGTCAACTTGACACAAGGTGGGATGTATAAGAAAACGGGCTTAGCAAGCCATGGAAAGCAACCCAGTCAGCAGCTTCCTCTATGATTTACTTCAGTTCTTGTCTCCAGGTTCTTGTCTTGGTTTCTCTCAATGGACTATGACCCAGTATACACAAGTCCAATAAACATTTTCTCCCAAGTTGCCTTTGTTCAGTAGTTTATTACAGTAATATAAAGCAGACTAATACAGAAGTGGTAGCAGAAATGGAATATTTCTGTGACAGAGCTGACCCTGTTGTTTTGGAAGGATCAATGGAGATGTTTGATATTACGGGCCAGACAAGCCCTGAGTGCTTTAGGACCAAGGCACAAAAGCAGAAAACAGCATGTGTGTGTGTGTGTGTGTGTGTGTGTGTGTGTGTGTGTGTGTGTGT